TGGTGAACACAAGTGTCAGAAGCGAAATAAAAACAACCCGGGTTCACGACAGTATGATGATATTTGTGCAGGGGTTATCTGGGGATGCCATAGAAAGTGTCGAACATTCTATAGCTGTCAAATCATGATTAATTGGGATTTGAATTGGGTTGTGGTCCAATGACATGGATGTTGCAATTTATTTATAAAGTTGAACACCGGGCGTCTCCATCATCGTAGATAAAAGCTAGGTGTAATTATAACACGTCTGTGAATTTAATATTAGCTCTTCGAAAATGCGAAATGTTACACATAAATGAGACTCGATACGATGGTATTGACATATTTGACCTACCACTGTGGCATGCGTCTTCGTGGATAATGAATACCTGATTAACACAAAGGAACTTTTCACAGAATTTGGAATAGACTGGAAAAACATCCGGGTAAAAAGTGAGAGAGACTGGTTTGGCAAGCCATTTTCCGTTTTCCCCACCCGACACCCTCGTACTGTTCCCGCGTCCTACGTACCAGTTATACGCTTTGAACTTCAAATAGTCTTTGAAACATCGAGTTGTCGTGCCAATTATGATAGCATACTGTCATTTAAATGAGGTTAGTCAACTGGCGTACCCAGGGATTCGCCCAGGAGGTGCAAGGATGGCGGCCCCCATCTAACCCCTCAAAAGTTTCAACATGAAACCTGTCAACGTCCATCACTGTTTCCTCATAACTCATACACCCGGGACAGCACTCTCAAATCCCACGCGCAGTATGAAGCCCTGTGCATCGCTTGTGCAATAGCTAACGCTTCGAGCTCAATCACGATTTTGTCAAAATAAGGTTCAGGGTCCAGTGTCAACCGTGCAACAGTTTTTGAAGTTAACGATTCCGTTGATTGCTTCTGACGTGAACGGAGGCGTTAATTCGTCAGGCCAAATTTGCATTAGCTAGTTAACGGCTTAGCGGTTTAACGAAGTATGAGCAGCCTCTGCAAGTCGCATATCAGCTGGTTGATATTCAGGGTGGTTGATGTTATGGGTCGCATTGGAGAACACCCGCTCAGCATCAGCGGCTGATGACAGCAGCCGGCGGACCCGCTTGGAAAGCACCCGCTTGGATCCGTTTGGATCCGCTTGAAAAGCGTCAGCTCAGCATGGGCGGCTGATGACAGCAGCCGGCGGATCCGCTTGGAAAGCATCCGCTTGGATCCGCTTGGATCCGCTTGAAAAGCGTCCGCTCAGCATCGGCGGCTGATGCCGGTAGCCGGTGGATCGATTGCAGCGGAAGATAACCACATTCCGCCCGGATTCAGCCCAGCCCGCATTTCACGGCACGAATGTAGAGGAATTCCCTTTACGGCCCGTTATGTCCCATAGAAAAAAAGTCTGGCTCGCGACGCGTCCACTGGAAGCTCTTTTTATTCCAAAGGCAACGGTTCAGCGTAAAACCGCGGTTTCTCTTGGGTGTGAAAGCCGTAGGCCATTGCAAAATAATGTCTGTGGGGCGGCAGCGAACATTTTCTTCAGAAGATCCACCGAACCATTGACCAGTGTTATCAATCGTGCCGGAGAAACTCTGCAGACATTTT